ACTCAAGTACAAGATCTGAGACAGACAACACACACTGACTGACACACTCTCACACACACACTCTCTCTCAGACAGACAGACAACACACACTGACTGACACACTCTCTCACACACACACACTGACTGACACACTCTCTCACACACACACTGACTACACTCTCTCACACACACACTGACTGACACTCTCTCACACACACACACACACACACACACACACACACACCAGGGTAACGAGTGACCCGTACACCCAGGTCCATGATGTGCAGTGAGAGCCAGATTATTGGTCAAACAAAAGCAATGGATCACAAAAAGGTAAGAATCACAACAGAGCATCAATCAAGTGGCCGTTATCAAAACTTACCAGCATTTTCTGGGATGTTGACTGAAGGACAAATGTTGCCAGAGTCACACGGAAAACAAAAACGAAACAAAAATTACAAAAATTACATTTTTCTTTTCACAGCAATGCTTTTTCTCTTCCTTCTTAAGTCGATGCAACACAAGCCCTGGTTATTAAATCACGGTTTGATCCGTGAAAAGGCCAGAGAGGGGGAAGGGCTGAGTGTGTGAACCTCCTCCCTTTTCTCTGTGGCTTTGGGAGCTGGTTAACGGTGCCCGCTGTTTAAATCACAGACAAAATCTACACTGACGGATCATGCAAACTCTAACTACACTGCAAAGGAGGCGAGGAAGGAGTCACACTTTAACTTCTGTTGGAGAAAACATGGTTAGGATATACTGTTAGCCACATTAGACATTCATGGGAGAGAGGAGCTAGTGGTTTGTACACAAATAAGACAATCTAAATAAGCTCTAAAGAGATATCAGTGCCTGCAAGACTTGGGAATGAAATGCAAAAACATTCTTACACCTGAATCAGCACCGCTTGAAGCTGACGTTAAACAATGAGGCCAAATATGTTCTCTAAAGTGCGTCTTTGCACCACCTTCCCTACGGTGGCTGGCGAGGGCCATTAGGAGTAATGTGCTGCAGTTACACGTGCCAAAACACAAGCAGATGAGGAAACATCTTCACCAACTTGACGAAACATGCACAGTGTTTACTTATGGCACATTTCCACTGCAGCGGGGTAGCCCCGTTTAAGCGTCCTCGCTCAGGCCTCGGGATGCCTCGCTGGCCGTCCGAGGCCGTGGCGCATTCCCATTACAGTTTAGGACCTGGGGTAGCAACGCAGTGTAGGCGGGGCTTCTGTGCAGAGACATCCTGGAAGACTTTCACATTTCGAGTTGTTCCGTCGAGCTCCCGCTGGATTTGATCGTCCCCAATGAGATGTAGGAACGTCGTCACCTCCTCGGTCGACCACGGTGTGCTTTTCTTTGACGTTGCCATTTTTGTAGCTCCTCCGTTTACAAAAATGCTGTGTATAAAAATGCTGCAAGCTTGCTTCTAGATATATATATATATATATGCGACGCTAGGGATTATCTCGCGCGCGATCTTGTGACGATTCTCTCTGACCAATCAGCAGTCGAGAGTGTTGACGTCACTAGTTCAGCCCTGGCCTGATAGAACCACGATTTTATGGGGCCGGAAAAAGTACCCGCTAGCCGGTGCTACGCTATCTGGAAAGGCCACCAAAAACTGGCCTGGCCGCTTGAGGACGATTAAGGACGCTTAAACGGGGCTACCGGCTGCAGTGGAAATGCGCCATGAAAGAGCTGCATAAACAAAATGCTGCAAGAAGACCGGGTGAAAAAGTTGGCCAACTGTCGCTGTTGGTGGAAAGTCACCTAAAATGTAACTTTCATCATTCCGATATAATTAGGTTAGCCAAGTTCGCTAAATAGTTTACAGCATATCTTTAATAATGTAGGACGAACATTTTAGCTAACTTCCCATGAACAGAGACAGTCTTTATAATCCCTGGTTTCTGTTTTGAGCTTCTTGCAGCGTTTCATTTATGCATCCCTTTTAGTAAACGCTCGTATGTGTGGTCATGTTGGTGAAGATGTTTCTTCATCGGCGTGTGTTTTGGCACCTTTGTGTTTTTAAATTTGCATCATTTCTGAAATGTTTTGGGCCGTTGAAGCTCGTTTGCACCCGTCACCCACTGTATGACCCATCTAGAACACTCAAAGAGGAAAATAATCATGCTCTACACCAGGGGTGTCAAACTCAAGGCCCGGGGGCTTCAAAATGTTACTTTTTTTTTTGTGACTTCTTTTCCAGAATTTGGCTTTTCTTTTGAAATCATTTTGTGACATTCTCACTGAGGAGACTTCTGCTTTCAGACGTAGTTAATTATGAAGTTATTACCCTATCTGATATTAATCTAATGCAGAGGCAATAATGTAACATAGTACATTATTTGATATATATTAAACATTTATATATGTATTTTTATATAGTCTTAAAGTTACAACCGGCCCTTTGAGTGCAGCCATGATGCTGATGTGGCCCGTGATGAAAATGAGTTTGACACACCTGATCTAGACGCTTCAAATAACTTCCAATCACTTTGATTTACAAAGAAACTAACCTACATTTCAAGACCACAATTAGCTTGGCTCCAGCGTGGAAAAGTGATTATGTGGAAGAATGTCCAGATACCCAGCCAAACCACGCGATAAAATGATAAACAAACCCACTAAACTGTAATCAAAAGTAATGAGTTTTCTTCGCTAGTTGAGGGAAATGAACACAGACCAAACTAATCTAACTATCTGGACTCAAAACATGTTTTTTATGGTGGGAAAGTAACCCATCTGGCAATACAAAACACCAAAAGTTAAGATGTTATAATAGAAAAAACTGGATTTGAAGTATAGTCTTAAGAATCTACATGTTTCACAGAGGTTTTGCACACGGTAAGTTGGCATCATCCTGCTACAAACCCAAGGACACAAATCTCCGCTATATCTACAACAAACAAACAAACAAACTAATCTAGCCTAGTATAAAGTATTTCATAAAATGTCCTCGTTCACAGCATGTTGTATCCAAATGTGTGTGAAATGGTGCGGTACGAGCGGTTCTCTACCTTGCGTCCATCGCTGGCATGGCAGTTCACATTTAATGGAGTCAACAGTGCCATCAGCTTTTCTTCATTTCCACTCCTGTAATTACATGGTTGAAAGAGACTGCTGTCACTAGGGCAACAGGAAAACAAATGGCGTTATCGTGCACTGGTCAAATGTAAGATCTTAGGCTGTGGACTAGTGGAAAGACAACATCCCATAATACACATTATTGGTGTTTAAATGACTATTTGTGTGTTTGTCTCTGAAAACGGTTCTAAATTCACCATAAATTAGGGTAAGATAAGGAAAAGAAACTTGGTATAAGGAAAATGAAGGTCTTAATGTAAGTTATTGTCATGTTGGTAACGTTAAAATGTTGACCCTATTCAATAGTCTCCCCCCTTTCTTATCAAAATCAACGTCCCCTTTGCTTTCAATGAGGTTACATAATTTAAAAGTAGTTCTGCAGTCTTTCAGAGATGAAAATACTGCTTTACTGGATGTGACTAGGTAGTACTTTTTCACATTTAAGAGTTGTACGTGATGTCTATGCTGCATGAGGCTGTTTGACTCTGGCCAACAGGAAGTAAATATGTCTGTCTGATACTCACCTTGCTGCTTCCAGAAGTTCATCCTTCTTGTATTCACCTGGATGGAAATAACATTTATTTCAGAGCACTTTCCATACATTCGAGTATAAAGTGGGACATTTATTTAATGATTAAAATATTGGCTGTGAGAGGAAGCGGCACTGACCGGTGAGAACAGCCTTCGCTGAAGGATCGGCGAGATCCAGAGCAGATTTTCCGTCAGTGTTGCGGATGTTTGGATCTGCGCCATGCTGGAGTAACACTGAGGGACAGAGGAGCAGACAAGAACATACTTCAATAACAATTCCTATGTTATGTAACTGTGTGTCACCCAGTACCTGAGGTGTAAAGATGCTAAGTAGATTTACTCAAGTACTTTCTATTTTATGTTACTTTGTACTTCTACTCTACTACAGTTCAGAGGTAAATGGTGTACTTTTCCTCCACTACATGTATTTAATACCTTTAGTTACTTCTCAGATGTGGATGAATGATGTGAAATATAATCAAGTGTTAAATCAGACTTTAGTTCCACCTGGAGTAAATCCACAAGCTACCCTGCAGAATACAAAGTCATTCAAACTAGCTGCACCTTTACCAGCTTTGAGAACACTTTCATGATCAATCATTATAAAACATATCATATCTATTATTCTGAAATGGACCAATCTGCACAATGACTACTTTTACTGTCGCTACTTTCACTATGTACTTCTACTTTTACTCAAGTACAAGATCTGAGTACTTCTACTTTTACTCAAGAACCAGATCTGAGTACTTCTACTTTTACTTAAGAACAAGATCTGAGTACTTCTACTTTTA